TGCCCTAAACGAGAAAACAATTGGCAAAATTTATGATAGGGGGTAAGTGGTTATGAAATGGGGAGAAACAGAATCCTTAAAAAAACCAACACGGCAAAATTTTGCAGGCTAGGTTTGATTGAGCCTGTTCATGGACCTAAGAGTTAATTACAAGCAACCGTCCACGCCACCTAGCACTGGCTCACCAAAATATGCACTAACAACAATAATGTCTAGCTGAAGGATCTTCAAGGATCGAAAATGAAACATCTTTGATTAAATGTAAGTGCAGACCTTTACAGCTGCAACACCGCACAAATAAGAGTGAAATGAAACGTACATATCACAGATAAAACGTCAAGACAACATTTAAAAGCAGGCACCATTATCTTAAAGATGATTAATCAGTATTCAAGAAAAAACACTGGAACCATCATTTGTAAAAAGGCAAAATCGCAGCTTTAAATAAACTTTCTAAGAATGTTCATGAATAATCCAAATATAAGACTTTTCGAGAAAGTTATCAACTATAATGTCATTTTCTTAAAGCTGCATGCCATGCCTCCAGATGAACCAAATATATCAAGAAAATCAAAGTTGAAAAATAATATTGATTTTTTAAGAAAAGTAAAAAGATGGAATATAATTTCTATGTTATGTCCAATTTATGAAATAAAAGTATAGAACTTGTTTTTGTCTGGGACAATAAAAGAATTTAAAACAAGAGGGCATGGTGGCCCTAGATCGCTCCACTGACCCATCAACAACATCTGAGCAATGTCTGCATCCTTACCAAGTGTGATGACAATGGAGTCAAAAATGTGAACTCTAGTGTGTTAAAAAGATTTTTCCATATTTGGGCAGTATGACCTATTTTTTGACCCCAGGTAACCGATATTCAAACTTGACGTAGAAATATCAAAACAACCTTCCTGACAAAATTCCAGAATATTTGGATCAAAACTGCAGCCACTAGAGTGTTAACAAGATTTTTCTATTTTTAGTCCCTGTGACCTTGTTTTAGACCTGAGATGACCTATCTTCGAACTTGACATAGAAATCATCAAACAACATTCCTGACAAATTTCAAGAATATTTGGATGAAAACCAAAGCCACAAGAGTAAGAGTGTTAATAAGATTTTGTTTCTATTTGTAGCTCCTGTGACCTAGTTTTTGACCGGAGATGACCCATATTCGAACTTGACCTTAAAATCATCAAACAACTTTCCTGACCAATATTCACGATATTTAGATCAAAGCTGCAGCCACTAGAGTGTGAAGAAGATGTTTCTATTTTTTAGCTCATGTGACCTAGTTATTGACCGAAGATGACCCATATTCGTACTTGGCCTAGAAATCATCAAAACAACCTTCCTGACAAATTTTCAGGAAATTTGAATCAAAACTGCAGCCACTAGAGTGTTAACAAGCTGTTCTATTTTCAGCCCCTTAGACCTAGTGTTTGACCAGAGATGACACATCTTCAAACTTGACCTAGAAATCATAAAAACAACCGTCCTTCCTGCCTGACAAATTTCCAGAATTTTTAGATCAAAACTGCAACCACTAGAGTGTTAACAAGTTTTTTTTCTATTTTTTGCTCCTGTGACCTAGTTTTTGACCGGAGATGACCCATATTCAAACTTGATCTAGAAATCACCAAATCAACCTTCTTGACTGATTTCAAGGGAATTTGGATCAAATCTGCAGCCACTAAAATGTTAACAAGCGTTTTCTATTTTTAGCTCCTGTGACCTATTTCTTGACTCGAGATGACCCATTTTCGAACTCGATGTGTTTTTCATTGCGGCAAACATCTTGACAAAGTTTGATGATGATCCAATCAAAACTATGACTGCTAGACTGTTAACAACCCAATTGTTGACGACGCACGACGACGGACGCTGGACATAGACCCATCACTTTAGCTAACCTTGACCACTTCGTGGTCAGGTGAGCTAAAATCATTGAGAAAATAGATTGTCTTAACATCTTTACGAGTGCACTACCCCTTTCCAAAGAAAAGAAAGATTTACAATTTTGCCTTTTTGGACTATCTTGAGGGATTCCTATTCTCTCTATTTTATCGCCATATCAGTGTTGTTTGTGCCGTAAAAAGTCGCCCCGTACATTCAATCAGAGAAGATATTTTTCCGATCCTTGAAGATCATTCAGCACGACATTATTGTTGTGTTTCTTGCACTTTAAGTTTTTACTTTTCGGCATTTTCTAGGGTCGGGATCCTTTTAGATGTCAGAATTCTAGAGTTTCGACGATGTGGAATTAGATTTCGCAAAAATGATGTCCTCAGAATCATGACTTGCTGATGTATTGCTGATATAAAACTGGATCCTTAATCTGACTGAACAGATCTAGGGAGAACAACAAATGTGAAAAACTTAACAAGTGCCTAAACTATAGTCGTGATATTTCTTAATGGGATGGCTTCAGGAAAACGTGTAGAATCACACATTATAGTCAAAAGATATTGACAACCTGACTCAATCTCTGACTGTATCTCATAAAAAGGCTTACCACAACCTTATCGCCTGCCAAATCATTGCCTAACAGCAAGTGTACACAATTAAAATGTAATGAAGGACTAAGGCATCCAACCACTGGACCAGTGATTGAATCTGAAAATAAATGTATGTTTTAAAGAAGTACATTGACAAATTTACATTCTAAACCCTGATTATGGACACTTTTCCCAGAAGTTTCCTCGGAAATTATAGGGTATCTGCCAAAATAAGGCAATGAGAAGCTCCTGTATATCGTAATATTTTAATAGGGGTAGACTGGGTGGCGTTACAGTTACTATTTAGTGACACAAAGCCATCTGATAAAAATGTTTCATAAATCTCCATAACGGAATCAGTCTCAGAAATTTTAACCCGAATAGGAATTTCACCTTAACACGTGACCAAGGTTTTGTAGGTTTAGGACCTTCTTATTTTTCACTTTCTTTCTTTACTTTAAAGCCAAACATTCAGAAATGATATGGCCAAATCGTTTACATAATTGCAAATAGGCTGTGATAAGGGATTTATACTATGAATATGTTTTTACTTAATCACACATTAATAAAATATGAACTCGATATCATTTTGTAATGGTCATTTATTGTATTAAAAATTGCGTAAATAATTTAAACCAATTAAGATTTTTTATCCAAATACTTACAAAAAAACTCATTTAAATCATGAGAAAAAATGAAGCGATGTTATGATTTGTACAATTTTGTTTTACATATTGCATTTAAATAGCGAAAAGAATTCGTGTCTTTGTGTGCTTATCATTGTTATCTTATTATATTCTCTTATATTCTATTGTCGTATCTTGTCTAAGACGAATAGGTGTTGTCTGAGCCGAGATCCACAGCTGTCGTGCAGTCGATGTTGCTGGAGTTAAGTGATAACGGAAATGTGTTCGCTCGGGGCCTACCTGATCTCAGCCTATCCGTTACTTGCTCTGTAGTTTTCAGGTTGAAAATTGCTTGTCTAGTTGTCTAGAGCAAACAAAATGAAGTGCAACGTCATTTACAGACGTGCCAGCTCTAGGTATAAACTGACAGCCAGCCTAATTTCTGTCATTGTCAGATAGCCGTAGCATATCCGTTTTCATAATTTTCATAAAATATTGTACACAAATTTGTGTTAAACAAAGGCAATTCAAATAAACCCGGAATAGGACACCACGGGGAAGTGGTCAGAAGCGGAAGAGAAAATAGTGCTTCCTGTGCCTCCCATGTCGGTGTACTCTCTATACTAGGGCCAATCAGTTCATGTCAATAACGTTCACATTATGTCACCGTTTATCCTCAAGTATTTTAAGTGTCCTTTTTTATATATTCATTCTTAGGCGGTGATAAAAGGGAGGAAGTCACTATAACGTAAACAATTACTAAATATATAAGGTCAATGAGCACGAAGAAAATGTAACAACCGCTTGGTGTAGTGGTTAGAACACTTAACCAACAAAGAGACTCGTTGTGCGATATCCGGCCGCGATTTCTCGTGTTTGCTTCATGTACAAACCACTAAATTACCGTGCAGTCTGAATATAGCGATATATGATCTTTAAAAAGGTGTATGTCTGTCTTTACGTTATTGTTTAAGGGAGTGTTGGGGTATAAAGTGCTTACGTATATTGTTTGTAATACATGTATGTGTGTTTCATCCTTTTAGCTTGGCAATGAGTCTGCAAACTTTTCATAAAGGAAAGACTTTTCGAAGATAGTTACTTGTTTATATTTATTTATGAAAATGTTGAGGATTTCAGAGTAGTTCTCATCAATATGATATGCATGAAATTTTTTTTTATAAAATTACAATTAAGTATTTCCATACCTTTCATAAATCTTTCTTATAAAAATAAATGGGAATGACACACATTTAAAGATCCTGTAACACAATTTTTGTAATGGTTTTGTCTCATAAAGTTGATGCTCAAATGAGATTTATCAATATTGTAAGTTCCAAAAAGCATTATTGTTAAAGATATTACCGAATTTACAATTCTTGTAAATAAAGGGAAGTAATTAGAAATTAATTTTCGATACAGATTTAGCCAATTTTTTCAATACGAAACGAATGCATACATTTCTATGATTACTTAAAATGCGTATAAACATTTACAGTACATATTTTTACATATTCATGGATGTTTAGACATGGTTAAAGAAGAAGAATTATATACATTATATAAACTTTAACTTAAGTGTTGTTACATCCTTAATAACAACATACGCAATCTTTAAATAGTTTAAATTAAACAAAAATGTATGACGACTTTGTCAGGTCTAAAAAATAAACATTCATATTTCGTGTGCGGAATAATGGAAGAGCCTAGAGTGCAGTACTATTTCAATACATTTTCTAGTAAAGAAAAAGAATAATTCCCATCTTTAAATTTTCAAAATGTTATTGGATTGGCAATATTATCTAACTAAACAACACAAACAATTAAACAGTTTCAATCAATCATGTTTTTGTTGCATTTTCTTTTTCTCTTTCTACAGGGATGTAACACAATTGCAGCTTTTGGTAAGAAGACTGATTTTTATTTCATCATCATTTTTTATCATTTTTTATTGTAAATAACAACCGTAAATTTTACATGTTTTACTAGCGCAGAAAAACAGAAACACACTTTTATTGATATTATCTAATTTTGCAATTGATGCAATCTGACGATAATAAAGATATAGAGAAACTTCCTAATATAAATTATTCTTAATTGCATCGACATTGTATAATAAAGGCATTATAACATTATTAGTCCCCTACCGGTTTACCGGAGGGGACTTTTGGTTTACCCTCCGTCCGTCTGTCCGTCCGTCAGTCCGTCCGTCCGTCTGTCCGTCCGCCAGTCCGTCCGTCCACAAAACTGGATCCCGCGATAACGCAAAAAGTACTGAAAATATTTTTATGACACTTGATATATGGATAGATGGCAGTAGATGGCAGTATGGAGATTATGCACGTCTTTTTCTTTTCTTCCTATGTTAAAAATTCTGGTTGCTATGGCAACAAATAGACTGAAAATATGGCAAATTTTACACATAATCTGGATCCAGTGATAACGCAAAAAGTACTGAAAATATTTTTACGAAACTTGACATATGGATAGATGGCAGTATGGAGATTATGCACATTCTTTTCTGTTCTTCCTATGTTGAAAACTCTGGTTGCTATGGCAACAAATATACTGAAAATATGGCACATTTTACACATAACCTGGATCCAGTGATAACGCATAAAGTACTGACAATATTTTTATGAAACTTGAAATATGAGTAGATGGCAGACTGGAGATTATGCACATTTTTTTCTTTTCTTCCTATGTTGAAAATTTTGGTTGCTATGGCAACAAATAGACTGAATCTCAAGATTTCTGATTCTAGTTTTAACGTTTTTTTCACTATAAGTTCTTTATTTCTTAAGGTATTTTCTCCAAACTTTAAATATAAGTTTCTAGTCATCAACCACATCATATGTGACAAGGTTTTCAACTCTAGCATAAAATTTATCAGAATTTCCTCCTTTGAACTTAGAATTTTCTTGAAAAAAATATTGTTTTTTTTAATAACTTCTTTTTTTCTGAATGTATCTACTTCAAACTTCATATCTATGTTTCTTATTATCACTTAACATTTGTGAAAAAGTTCAATACTCTAGCAAGACTATTTCCAGAATTATGCCCCTTTTGAACTTAGACTTTTTTCGAGAAATTGGTAATTTTTACTCCAACTTTTTCAATCATTATAGGATTTTCTTCAAACTCCCACATCATAATAATATGACAAGGTTTATAAATCTAACATCCATATTTCCAGAATTATCTCCTTAAACTTTGAATTTTTCTCATTCATTCTTTTCACTTTCTTTTACTTCAAATTAAAAGAAAACATTCATTATCAACACCTTCATTACTAATTGTTCCTTGTTACACTCACATCATGTATGACGTCTTGCATTTTTATTTCAAGAGTTATCTCCTTTTTAAGAATTTTGCTTTTAAAAATGTTATATTTTGATAACAGGGATGTTTAAAGAAATAACTTTAGAGTGTCCTTCAGTCCGTCTGTCTGTCATAAAAAACTGTTTCCTGTGATCACTTTTAAAGAACTTTTTCAACAAATTAGAAACATAAGTAAATGGCCCTTCAGAATGTTGCTGGGGTTCTAACCGGTAGGGGACTTATGGATTGCTTGCAATACTATGATAATTGCTTATTTAAATTTAGTTTACACGCAATAAGTGTGTCCGTATGCAATTTGGTTTGTCCTCAGATGTTATGGGTGATAGGAATGCTTTATTATATATAAAACCTTCTGAAATGGACGTTTGATATTTTTTTTATTTTTACTTGTTTTTGTTCTTATTAATTATCAGGCACAAATTACCTGGAATAAATGCTTATGGGATATTGAAAATAATGTTATCATAAAACGCCCATATCATTATGAGAAACAATAAGATTAATCATAAGGATAATTAAGATAAAACGTTTTTCGCATTGCTTTGTTCCGTAAATGAAATATTATTTAAAAATAATCCATCAATGTTTATTCAGTGTATCTACCTTACTTCGTTGAACTCATGCTATACAACTCAAATTTTGCTAAGGATCACCTCTTTGACATTGCATTTTTCTATGCTATTATCATTATATTAAAATCATATTTCCGTTAACGATACACCTGTACGGGGACCTCATAATCGTGTTCTTAAGTTACCGATTTGTCATTTACACCTTGCACGGTGATCACGTGGAAAAGCATACCCATAAAAATTTGGTGTTTTATGACCATGTGCTTTCACTTAAACGTGTACAAGCAACAAATCTTTCCTCGTTAAATTGTAAAACTGTGTTTGAATTTAGCAAAGTTTGGCAAATCGACAGTTTTGACGTCGTCTTAACGAAGATGAGATGAACAGGGGAATTGGACTGTTGAAGGCTTGCCGTTTACAAAGGCACGTTGCCAATATCCTTGGGGTATCCCAGAGCGTTGTCTGGGATGTGGAATCGATATCAAATGACTGAAATGTCTTGCAGGACTACGCCGGAGGGCGGGAATGTTCAACCACTCAAGCCCATGACCGATTTACTGTCCTTTCGGCAAGGCGCCAACGGTTCTCGAACGCTACGACCTTACGTAACGATTTCTAGAATGCAACCGGTGTGCGTGTAAGCACATAAACTGTTCGAAACATGTTGCATGATGCTGGTTTGAGGTAACGGAGGCCAGCAATTCACAATTCTTTGACACAACGCCATATTTAAGAGCGTTTGCAATGGACCGAGACTCATGTCACATAGACAGTTAATGATTGGACCCCGGTCCTCTTCACTGATGTGTCAAGGTTTTGTTTGGACTTCACGGACAGATGAGTTAGGGTTTGGAGAAGTCCAAATGAACGCATAGCTCCAGCATGCGTTGCAAAATACGACCCTTTTAGCGGGGGTTCAGTCATGGTGTGGATTGGAATAAGCGCTCAGGGGAAAACGGACCTACACATTATTGAAAACGGTACACTGACGGCAGTAAGGTATGTCAATGAAATCTAAACGTCCATGTACGCACGTACGCTGGCGCAGCCGGCCCTGATTTCATTCTTATTGATGACAACGCCCGTGCACACAGAGCCAACATCACAAACCGATATCTTGAGGAGGAAACTATAGTCCGCATGGAATGGCCAGCGAGGTCCCCGGATTTAAATCCAATTGAGCATGCTTGGGATATGCTGCAGGAAGCCATTACTTCACGCCACGTCCAACCAACAACAGTTCAGCAGCTTAGACGTGCAATCATAGAGAAATGGGCCCAGATTCCTCATCACAAGGTCCGCAGGCTCGTCATCAGCATGCGGCGGTGATGCCAGGTCGTAATAATAACAGTGGACACCATTATTAAACACCCTACGCCAACCATTTCCTGATTTGATTTGATCTTCAAAATGTTGATTTTCGTCCAGCACACTCTTTCCGCAACAGGCACGGGTCAAGGAATACTTCCATTATCATTATTTTCATAACAATCAATTCCTAACTAATCATATTTAATTCTTTTTAATAAAATATTTACATTTATTACAAATTCACAAAAGTAATGCACTGTAGAAAAAGTATTCCTTAGCAAATTTTGAGTGTATATATATATATATATATATATATATATATATATATATATATATATATATATATATATATATATATATATATATATATATATATATATATTTCATGAAGTTTTTTGCTAGCCTTTGTCTATTTCATAGCTTACACAATATGTTACATTTTTACACAGTAATGACACATTCGAGATTGTATCACTGAATGATTACCCTTTTAAGTCATTACAAATAATTGTCTCTATTGCCTGATATTCTTTGAGCGAATCGTTTTCATTGTCATAACTTATGCATTGGCATTATTTTTCAGATGACCCGCCTTCATATGAAGAGGCCATGAAAACAAAGAAATGTGAGCTTGGAGATGGCGTAAACGTTAGTATTTTTAGAAATCTGAATCTTGATATGAATTTGACATTGTTTCATTGTAATAAAATAAGTCATTGTACTTTTAAGTTTTTCACTAAATATTCAATAACTATTGTTTAATTGTCTTTCAAGTAATCATATTCAGACCACGGTGAAAATATCGCCGGCGTTCAACATTATATTTTTAATACATTTCCATTTAGGATCATGAAGAGACCATTGAAATACTGAAATCCATGCTGGTTGAAGTTGAAACAATCATGAGTATTATCCATGTATCTAAATTGGACCTACGAATTTTTATATCAATTATTTACATAAATTCATAATAAAGAAATTAACAAGAAGTATCTTTTTAAAAAATTCGTCCGAAATAAAACTGTTTTTCCTGCATAGGTTCTTTCGAAGTATTTAATATATAGAACTGTTACCTCAGCGCTTGTTTAATAACCACAGTAATTACGTAAGCACATGCTCATTTTCATTCTATAGGAGACGCCAATACAATAAAAACATAATTTGATACGTATTCAACATTTTCGCTTCGCTTCATTTCCCTCGTGTATGTCGTTTTTCTCATTGCCATATATACATATACTCCTTTTAACGACGTTTTCACCCCCCCCCCCCTCTTTGACGCCTCAAAATAGTGAAAAAATTGCCCAATTTAGACCCCAAAAACTTGTTTGAGAAATGTTGTTAATAAATATGATTACATTTTCGGCGCCATTCCTTATGAAAAAAGATACATCAGGGCAGTGCAAGAGGGGTATGTGCCCCCCTTCTGCTTAGGGGTTGGAAGGATGTTAGCAGCCCCCCTCATCTCCAAAACACTTTGGACTTGTGAGAGGACAGAAATGGTCTCAGATCGATCTTAACGTAATATGTAACCAACGCTGAAAATCTTGTGACTCAGCTATATTAGACTTAAAGATGATAGATTTATCCTTGGATCTTGGGCACAATGTAAAAACTAAAAGATGCTTTGAATCCGAAAAGTTCCAAGTTACCTTCATTCTTCTAAAATTATTTTGTAAAATTATTTTTACTACAGTTGACATAGCGTTCTTGTACTTTTAACATACGTATTCATCTACACATCTACACATTAGTGTGGGCTTTATTGATATGTATCATAACATTTGACTCAATTGAACATATTATTAAGCATATAATATCATGAACACAGAACATAACATACCGAGAGTACCAGACGAGTTCGCAGTTTTTAATGTTGTGTCTTTCTGAATTTTCTTGCTAATTCGTTTCTAGAATCAGGACTATAAATGACGGTCGCGTTATGCTAGACAAAACTTATAAAATGGCCTCTATATCACAGTTATTTCTTATGTTAAAATTTAATAAGCTACTAATTAGATTATTTATAAAATTTAAAAAGCAATATTAACTCTTTTAGAATGTGTAATACGTAGAAGCACGCTTCACAGGTCTCAAACATCGCAGAAATTTAAGTGTTTCAGAAAATTCTCTAGTTTGTGTAGAGATGTGTGTACATTTCTGCAAGATCCTTAGTTTATATTATTTTACTTATTTTATAATGATCAACAAGTTTCACCTATTTTAGTTTTTAATTTTGATTAATGGAAATCCAACCTATATGCAGTTCTTCCCTGTATGTACAACATGACGTCAAACTATTCTCAGAGGGACATCGTCCGAAACAAATCTAATCAGATGCAGTGTTTGGCTTCAATAACGTTCAAATATCATTTAATTGAATTTCCAATAATCAGATTCAGACCCGGTTGAAAGCACCGTCATTAATACACTTTCATTTAGAATCATAAAAATCCAAGTTATATAAATGTATACTTGTAGCTATTTGCACATACTTGTTTTGAAATATATAAGGGTAAGACAACTCTGTACGAATGCTAGTAGCAACATACGGTATCTTGTTATAAAATAAACTTAATTATTTATGTGTGTTGCATGGGTGGATGTTTTGAATTAATCATTACAATGTTTAATACTTTTAAACACCGCATCGTGTTATTCGCAATACCTTCAGTCAATTTGATATATACAGACCCATTTCCAAAAAATATCGGCATGTCGCCACTGGTACTCATTCCATGGATCTTGCCTTGTAAGAATACTAACCACTTCACCACAGCGGCTTTTCCGTTTTCATCAATATTATCGGCCTTATATATTTAAGTTATTTTAAACTTTATGTTTTGACGTCATCATTTTATAACCAGAGTGGTGAGCTTTTTATAGTTTTCTAACCACTGACTGGCTGATTCAAACTCACTTTTTTAATGATAAAAATTCTTATGGCGAACACATTAATTTTTTTCTAAAGACACTACCTTTGATATTTCTATGTATAATTTCCCCCTCATGACTTTCTTTCTTTCATTAACACTTAACAAAAAATATGAGGTAATGATAGTTATAACGTCACCTAGGAATTATATAGTATGTATGGAATATTTTATGAAACATGGAAGCACTATCAGTGAGTCAGTAACAGCGTTGACACCGGGTTTTTTAAAATTGAAGGTCGATTCTGAAGTCAAAAGAAGAAAGGGTCGATTTCAAAAATAAAAAAAAATGAAGAAATGTTTCATTGACTTGTTGAATATCAGTCTGAATGCCATGAATGTGGATTTAGTTGTGTTATAAACGTGTGTTACCACCGTCGGCCTTAACGCAGATTGCAATTTCTATCATCGTGATTTTTTTCAGATGGCGAATGACATCATTTTGTATGATTTGCCATTTAACCAGAATTGATTTTATCAGGTCATTGACATTGCTGATTTGCTGATTATTGTGTTACTGACACCCAAACTCGTCCCACATGTGTTGTATGGAGATTTTGTCTGGCGAAACCGCCGGCTACGACAAGACATGGCGCCGTTCTAAGCCAAAGACTGTTTTCTAACGCGTGTTGTGTGGGACCTCGCGTTATACTTCTAGAAAATCACTCCCGGGCCCAGATTTTGCACAAGTGGGAGTTAATGGTTCCTAAGGATGTTCACATACATTACTGCATTCAGGTTTTCCGGAACGTTGACCAATGCTGTTCTTTGATTGTCCATTATGCCTTAACCATGACGCTTTCATCGCCAAAATAGTCTTGGTCCAGCACGCAACACGAGGCAGATCTCTCGTGTCCTCGCCTGAAAACTTTAACCTTACCATAAGCAAGTCTGACCCTGAAGAGTGACTCGTCGGTAAAAAGTAACGTTACGTATCGTATGAGCCGAGATCCCCAGGCGTCGTGCAGTTAACTTTGCTGTGGTAATGCGATCACGTAAATGTGTTAACATAATGACACGGTCGTCTCTAAGTGATGTCGCTCGGGCCTACCTGATCTCAGCCTATCAGTAACGGACCCTGTAGTTGTAAGGTTGAGAATGTTTGCCTAGAGCACACAAAAAAGCAACGTCTTTAGTGATTAACCTGTCCGTGCTCTATCTTGTGCCCTGTCCTGTTTTTGTTTTGGGTCCACCTGGGCTCCTTGTCACTGGTCCTTTTTGCTGGGTCATATGGAGGTTGTGTTTATTGAACGCTGCCTTCCCTTGTTGATCTTGTTTATCATATTTTTGACAGACATTTAATATCGGGGCTAAGAGTGAGGTTTGGTGCACCATTGACCGGTTTAAATTCCCCCAACAGTACTTATGCTGCTGACCGTTCCAAGGCTGCGCCCCTCTGTGTTCCTCAGATGTATGTCTTTGTTGTTTCTTACTGTTTTGGTGACACTTTTCTATGTGTCTCTTGTTGTTTTCTCGTCTGTGGTAAGTATCTTCCCTTTTGCTTCTAGTTTTATTTCTTAAATTTTGCCCCGCACCCCTTCCTCGAATCTCATATCCCCTTTCCCTGTGCCCTTTTACTTTGTGGGACTATTTATCAATAATCTATTTGTTTTCTTTGATTTCCTTGTCGGTAACTATTATTTGTTTCTTATGTATCATTTTATTGATTAGCCTGTCCGTGCTCTGCATTGTGCCCTGTCCTGTGTTTTGTTTGGGGTCCTCACTGGCTCCCTGTCGGTGGTTCTTGTAGCTGGGTCGGTCGTGTGGGGGTCGTGTTCAATTAAAGCCGCCTTTCCTTGTTGATCTTGTTTTTATCATATTCATGCTTAATGTGTGAGTAATAAAGAGTATGTATGACTGTGCAACAAAACAGAAATTGAAATAATCCTGGAATAGCGTGCTAGCTTGTGCATGGTACAGTAAAACAACATCTTATGTCGTGTTCTCTCTATACTCAGGCCAATAAGTACTTATCACGTTCACATAGAGTCACCGTTCAAGCAGCATGCCTCCAGATTTATTTAAAAGTAAAATACTGTAAAATGAACAAAGAAAGTAATTTACACTTTGCAAACAAGACTTACAATCTAAGTTAATTAACAAAAAGAAGTCAAAATATACATAAATACCTCTTACTGCGTTAGTAACGCAGTAGAATTTTAGCGATTGATACTGCAAAACCAGTCATTAATCGCACTGAATACACTTGTTACTATATATAGTAACAAAATTGCCTATGATTTCAACTGATTATGAGTGTCACGTGACCTATTATGAGTTTGCGGCCCGGGGCCGAGAACTAGTTATCAGCCCGCAGAACATGTGCACGTTCACAAACTGAAACAATGACGTCATATTTTACGTCATCAAACAGTTAACTGTAAAAGTGAAAGTAGGTTGTCAGCACGAATCGCTTTATTTTAATTATGAGAGCTTAAGCGTATTTAGTACAAACACATTTTTGTTACTATTGAAATTTGAAGAAATAATACGACAAATTCATTCCGAAAAAAAAAATGAAAATAAAACTTGCTTCTAGATTCTACTGCTTTGAACACACAAACAGTAGACTCTACAGTAAACATCTCTGTACAGAACAGTAGAAGAGTACTGTAGACAAGAATTTCGACGAAAGGACTTCACAGTATTTGTTGTTTTTTTCTTTTTAAAAAAAAATGCTACTATTAGATCTACCAAGTGTATTAAAGACATTAATACA